ATTAAAGGTCACATCCCCCCACCCCCCTTTTTGCCTCGCTAATAACTTTGACTAGATGCTGTGTACAGCTCATCCACCTAAGTATTCTTCTTGTCTTGTTCAGCTTGGGCTGACATAACAGGGTACCCGAGGCAGGTTGCCCTAACAGGAACTTATTTTCTCACAGTTCTGGAGGCTGCAGGTCTGAGGTGAGGGTGCCAGCGTGGGCACATCTGGTGAGAACTCTTTTCCTGGCTTGCAGACGGCTGTCTTCTGGCTGTGTCCTCACATGTCAGAGAGAGTGCTCTGGTTCCTCTTCCTCCTACGGGACACTAGTCATGGAGGCCTCACCCTCTGACCTCCTCTAGCCCTAATCACTTCCCCAAACCCCACCTCCAAATGCCATCCCAGTGGTTAGGGCTTCAACTTGTGGATTTGAAGTGGGAGCACCACAAACATCCAATTCCATTCATAGCACTTCCTTACCAGTATTATATCCTTTTAGTCTGCCACCTTTTATTAACTATTGTGTGTAAGATTCATTCATGCCATTGTGTGTAGTTGCAGCATTCATGTTCATCGTTGTGTAACGTTCTGTTGTGGAAATGTGCCATTTGGGTTATTTACAGTTTTAGGCTATGAAGACGGGTTGGAGTGATATGAAGACATACCAGGGTTGTGGATCTGAATTGGAGGGATGCTCCCGGGGCTCACGTGGTCGAGCTGAAGGAAATCCTGTTTTGTCTCCAGCTCCAGATGGTGTCAGTGTGATAGCCGAGGGCAGGACACACCTGGCTCTCGGCCTGCTGTGCACACACAGCTTCACTGGGACACAGCCCTGCCCGTGCGTTTGCGTTTCATCTGTGGCCGCTTTCCTGCTCCCACGGCGGAGCTGAGGACTTGAAACAGTAGGCAAAGCTGCAAGTGTTTACTCCCTGGCTCATACAAGTGTGGACCCTGGCTCAGGATCTTGGTTTTTTGCCCACTGTGGGTCACTGAGCTGTGCCAGCGATGGCAGGGGCTGGGTGGGGGTGGCTGGGTTGGGGTTCCTCCTCTCAGTTGCTTGAGGAGCTGCTTGTCACCTCCCCTAGATAAGCCTGCCCTCCTTCCTTCCTTCCTTTCAAAGGCTTTGACGCAGTCAGATTCCTGGGCGGGGCTTGGAGGCGGTGGGCTCTGTTATCAGGGAAGGCAGAGGCGTCTGTAGAAGCTCCCCTGTCCGAACGCTGGGGAGTCCTGCTTCTCGGGCTGTGCTGGGCAGGGCACAGGCGCTGCTTGCCCAGCACCACCCTTCCGGCGGGAGGAAGGCCGCTGGGTGACCCTGTGCGAGGCACCGTCCTGGCCTGGCCCCGCTTCTTTCTCCCCAGTGAGGAAGCTGGGCCCCAGCGTCCCTTCCGGCTTCCAGAGTCCCACTGGGAAGTGGCTTAGTTTAGACTTATTTATTTATTTATTTATTTATTATTTTTTTATTTTTTTAATATATTTTATTGATTT